AACCTCTGATTTTTATTTTGTTTTCTTTTGATATCTAGGGTTTGGCCTTCTTGAGAATGTGATCTAATTGGAATTATATAGCATGTGGCTTTTTCAGACTCAGCCTTTTCTCTCAGTTAGCAGTATCCACTAAAGATTTAAGTCTTTTTTTTGGCTTAATAGCTTTTTTTTAATTAAAGTATAGTTTATAGTTTGCAATGTTGTAATAATTTCTGCTGTACAGCAAAGTGATTCAGTTTAGGTAGCTCATCTTGTAATTTCTGAACAATATTTCATCGAATAGGTGTACTACAGTTTGTTTACTCATTCCCCTACTGAAGAACGTTTTGGTTTCTTCAAGTTTTGAGTTATTATGGATAAGTGTTAGTTGCTCAGTCGTCTCTGACTCTTTGCGACCCCATGGACTGTAGCCCCCCAGGCTCCTCTGTCCATGGGACTCTCGAGGTGAGAACACTGGAGTGGGTTGCCTTTCCCTTCTCCAGGGGGTCTTCCCAATCCAGGGATGGAACCCAGGTCTCTTGCATTGCAGGCGGATTCTTTACCATCTGAGCCACCAGGGAAGCCCATTATGGATAAAACTGCTGTAAACATGGATGTGACAGTTTTTGTCCAGTCGTAAGCCTTCAGATCAGTTGGGCAAGAACTTGGGAACATGATTGACAAATCATATAGTAAGAATTTGCCAGAGTATGTGCCAGAGTGCCTGAAATTTTAGATTTTCACCAGCAGTGAAATGAGTTCCTGTTATTTCACATCCTTGCTAGTGTTTTGAATCTTAGCCATTCTAATAGGTGTATTGTAGTATCTCATTGTTTGCAGTTACCTAATGGCAGATGAAAGGGCTTCCCCGGTGGCTCAGTGGTAAAGAATCTGCCTGCAGTGCAGGAGCTACAGGAGACCTGGGTTTGATCCCTGGGTCAGGAAGATTCCCTGGAGAAGGGCATGGCAACCCACTCCAGTATTCTTGCCTGGAGAATCCCATGGACAGAGGAACCTAGTCGGCTGCAGTCCATGGGGTTGCAAAGAGTTGGACACAACTGAAGCGACTTAGCAATGGCAGATGATGTTTGATCTTTTCGTATGCCATCTAAATATCTTGTTTGGTGAGGTATCTGCTTAGATGTTTTGCCCATTTTGTAATTGGGTGGTTTGTTTTCTTACTGGTTGAGTTTGTGTTCTTTGTATATTTTCGAAACCATTTCTTTATTAGATATTGATTTTGCAAATATTTTCTCCTAGTTTGATTTGTTGTTTAATTCTCAAGTTTTTTTCATAGAGTTGAAGTAACTTCAACCAGTTCTTTTCTTTTCTGTATCTTGCTTTTGATGTATTGGAAACTCTTTATCAAACCCAAAATTGCTTAAAATTTCTCCTATGTTTTCTAACAGAAATCGTAATAGTGCAACATCCTTTTTGATATAAGGAGTGTGGGGAGGAGGACTGAAATGAGGCTGGGTTTTGTTTCTTGGTAATACTGGATTTTCATCAATGAAGTATTGAATTAAGATCACCTTAAAATATATTGTTTTGAGTTATTTCTAAGTGTGACCAGGTCTTTAACAAAATTTGGAATGTTTGGGTGGCTTAATAGTGGCTCTTGAAACTAGACAGACCTGTTTACTATTGCATTTTCTTGGGAGTATTGGCAAATTACTTTGGCAAATATTGAAATAGCATATGTAAAACGAGCAGTGGTTTAGGCTCATAAACACATAGCTATGAGAATTGATTTGTCATGGTTTGACAGTAGTGGTTCCTCCACAGCTTTAACAACACTCTAGATAATGCGAAAGTTAACAGATAGTGCCAGAGACTTCTCAAACCTGAAAAACCAGGTCCTGAAACTCGGGGTGTAGGGGAAGTGGTGGTAGAGAGAAGGGCATTTCCTGAAGTTTGCTGGAGACTCCAAATCCCTTTGTTGCTCCTGACTGGGACGGTCTGCTACTGGACAAGTTTTACTGTTACTCTGTCTCCCCTAGACAGATGCCACCTTTCCTGGGTTCCTTGGTCCAGCAACCTGTTCCGCAGTCACACACTTCACACTCTAATCCCTACCTGAATCCTCCATTCCAGACCACTCCCTTCAGGACCCTTCCTGACTAGTCTTTCTATCCTGTCTCTGTCACATATGTTTGGTATGCAACTACATTTTGTCTAGGGTAATAGAAATAGGAGATTTGAATTCTTTGACTCTCACTTATTGGTTGTGATATTGAGTAAATGATTGGGTTATTTTCATTTCACTATGTCTTGGTAATACGTCAAGGGAGATTTACAAAATAATGTAACTATGTGAAAGTGCTTTTATAAACTGGAAAACAAAGCACAAGTGGATTATTCGTAAACCCTAATCAGTGGTTCTCAAGGTAGCAACCTTTGCTTCCCCTGGAGCCTGATAGAAAGGTAAAGACCCAGTGCACACCTACTGAATCAGCAGTCTGTTTTAAAAAGCCCCCTGGTGCATGCTCAAGTTAGAGGACTGCCTTGTGACATTATACTTAGCCTGAGGAGAGTTGTAGTAGTCTGCTTGGACTGCCATAACAGTGCCACAGGCCGGGTAGCTTAAACAACAGAAGAGCTTTTTCTTAAGAGTCTGGAAGTCCATGGTCAAGGCGTTGGCAGAGCCGGCTTCTGGTGTGGCCTTCTCCTCAGCTCACAGAGGGCCGCCATCATGTCGTGTCCTCGCTGGGCTTGCCCTCTGTGCACGTGGACCCCTGGTTCTCTTCCTCTCATCACAGACACCAGGTCTGTCTGTTAGGGCCCCGGCCTTAATTACTTCCTTGAAGGTCCTGTCTCTGAACATAGTTATGTTGGGAGGTCGCGTTTCAACATGCGAATCTGAGGCAGGAGACGCCGTTAAGCCCGTAACAGCAGTACATGCCGTGTGTGTGTCTGCTCCGTTGCTCTCCACTGTCCAAACCTTTCACAGCCCCACGGGCTGGAGCCTGCCGGGTTCCTCCATAGGATTGCCCAGGCAAGGGTACTGGAGTGGGCTACCATTTCCTTCTCCAGCGGATCTTCCCGACCCAAGGGCCGACTGTGCATCTCTCTCATTGGCAGACCAGTTCTTTACCACTGAGCCACCTGGAAGCCCGTAACTAGCAATAGTATATCAACAAATTAAAAATTACAGAGAAAAAAGTCAATCTTGCTGTTCTGCAGCTGTACTCTCCCTCACTAAGCCCTGCCTGACTCCCTTGTTTGAGAGGTGAGTGTTCATCTCCCTGGTTAGCTTCTTCTTGAGCAGCAGTTTTAACATCAGGACATAGTCCTTATCAGTTCATTGGTTTTGTGATTCACTTAGTTGCTACTAGGCTTATCACATTTTGCCTTTTAGAAAGTTGTAATAATTGTATGCATAGATAGTTTCAACTATTTTGTGGGCTAATTTGATTTATAGTTTATCCCTGGTAATCCAACTACCATTTATAGCATTTCTGTGAGGACTTGTTAGGTTGTATACAGTTAATTTAAATAAAAGTGTTGAATCAGCCTGTTTAGTTTCAGTGAATCCAATGTAGTTGTAAATCAAAGCAATATTGCTATGCCACTTTATATTATTTTTGTGGTAGAAAGTAGAAGCCTTAGCAGTGAAATTGAAATTACTGGCATTTCTTGGTATATAAGAAGCCATAGCAGAATTTTGACATTGAAGGGTTTTCCTAAACTCTAATACCAGTCCTAGGAAAAATTATGAGTGACTTTTTATTTTTATAAAAATCTTCTATTTTCTGTGCTGCCTAGGAGTCCAGTGAGCTTTACTTTCTTTCATTGTGTGAAAACAGTACCCGAGATTTGTAAATAAAAGACCACCAAATGATAGGTGAAAATCTAGTTCTGTACAGTTCCTCGCTTTAAAGGGTTATAGCATTGATAAAGAATTAGGCGTTGAATTCAGCATTAGAATAAGTTGATTTACAAGTGACCAAAAAAATTAAGCTATTTTCTTTATTTTTATAAAATCTTTTTTATTGTAGTGAAAATACTTGTAAGATTTACCGTCTTAACCGTTAAGTTCAAGTGGCATTGAGTACGTTCACCTTGTTTTACAGCTTTCACCTCCATCCATCTCCAGAACTCTTTGTCTTGCAGAATTAAAATTCTATACTGCCTACTACCAAATCATTTTGTGCGTCCATGTGGCTCAGAAATAATCTTTAGATCTGTGGTTTTGGAAAGAGGATTGACTACCATCCATGACAGTCTAATATAATATGTAAGACACTTAAAGACTTAGAAAAAAGATAAAAATAGTTAGTCTGTGGTTTAATATATTTTTTTGTTGAATCTTAAAGCACTGATTTATTATTTATTTATTTGGCTTATGGGTCTTAGTTGCTGACAGGTGGGATCGTCATTGCATCATGCAGAATCTTTTTTTTTTAATCCAGAATCTTGTTGAGGATTATGGAGTCTATAATTGTGGCTTAGTTGCTCTGTGGCATGTAGGATCTTAGTTCCCTAGCCATGGATAAAACTCAAGTCCCCTGCTTTACACGGGGTTCAGTGGAAGTCCCTTAAAACACTAATTAAAAACAATACCTATGCTTGTTGATCTTTGGATGAGAACAGCAGCATCTAATCTAAAGTAAGTCTTTAATGTGAGGCAAGTTAACGCCTGTGTTATTTCATTGTATTGTTTTAACTCATTTAAACTATTCTGTAAAAGGGGCTTTGTGTATTGTAAAGCTCTTTACAAATGCAAGAAGTTATTTTGAAATTGTATCTGAACACCCTAGGTCTGTGTAGCCAACATGATATTCTGTATGGGGACAATTGTGTACGTTTGATTTATATTGAATTTTTTCTTGAAATTAGATCTTTTAACTGATTTTAGGAAAACCTGTTATTCTGAGTTCACTTTCTCTATCTGTAAAATGAAATACAGTAAAGTTCCTATCAGCTCTGATTTGAAAGCCTTAATTTTAAATAAGAGAGGGGTTCAAAATTTTTGAAAGGAGACGATACATTTAACTGTATTTTTTTAAAATACTTAGATCATGGAAGGAAAGTGGTTGCTGTGTATGTTACTGGTCCTTGGAACTGCTCTTGTTCAAGCTCACGATGGACATGACGATGATGTGATTGACATCGAGGATGACCTGGATGACGTCATTGAAGAGGTAGAAGACTCAAAACCGAAGCCAGATGCCAGCAGTCCACCATCGCCAAAGGTTTGCCATGATCTTTGACTCTGTTCGTTTTGCCTCTTGAGATAAGCAAAAGATGAAGGTAAATTTTGGATCCTTACCACAGGGAAAGCAAAATTTGGTAAAATACTTACTGCTCTCTCTGTCAACCATTGTTATATTGTCCCAAAGATAAATTATATGGGTTGAATTTGAGGGCTGGCCATGCAAGTTTGAAAGCAAACCAAGAGAATAGATCCTACTGAGAATATTTTAATCCTTAATTCATTTTTATATTTAACACAGGTCACCTACAAAGCTCCAGTTCCAACCGGGGAAGTGTATTTTGCTGATTCCTTTGACAGAGGAACTCTGTCAGGGTAAGTGTTTCTTAGGGGGAAAAAAATCTTAGAGGCAAACATCATGTAAATAAGATAGAATAGTGTTTTATATTTTCAGTCCCATTTAGGAAAAATCTTTTAGAACATGTGGTTCTTGCTTCCATTTCTTTCCCCTTCACCCTGTATTTTGTTCTTTGAGAAAAACTTTTTTTTCCTCTTCAGTCTTAAAAGTGAAATTTCATGAGTTTGGTACTTTTTGTTACAGATATTTGATTTGCGTATAATATATTACTACTTGAAAGACATATTTATTTATTTATTTTTTTGGTGTGTTTAGGTATTTTATTTTGTTTTATTTTTTATTAATTAATTAATTAATTAATTTTTTTATCACAACCATAGTGTATCTTTTTTTTTTTTTTTTACATGTATTCCCCATCCCGGTCCCCCCTCCCACCTCCCTCTCCACCCAATCCCTCTGGGTCTTCCCAGTGCACCAGGCCCGAGCACTTGTCTCATGCACCCAACCTGGGCTGGTGAACTGTTTCACCCTAGATAATATACGTGTTTCAATGCTGTTCTCTTGAAACATCCCACCCTCGCCTTCTCCCAGAGTCCACAAGTCTGTTCTATACATAGGAGTCTCTTTTTCTGTTTTGCACATAGGGTTATCGTTACCATCTTGAAAGACATATTTAAAAGTTGAAAGTACAATGATTAGGTGGGCTAAGAAGAGCTCGATTATCCCTGTTTTTATTATTATTTACATTCTTTCTTTTTACAGGCCAACTATAATTTGAATCTTAATTTGGGGGGATGTCTTAATTACAGGTGGATTTTATCCAAAGCCAAGAAAGATGACACTGATGACGAAATTGCCAAATATGATGGTGAGAGTTGCATTTGATTTAGATACAATAGCAGATTGAGATACGGTATGTCTCCGTAGTATCTCTCAAGGCTAGTTTAAAAGGAGTATGTATATATTTCAAGGCTATTCCTTGGGAGTTTGCTATCTTTGTGTGTCCCATTATATTTTATAGGGTTAGACCTGTTTAATTTCAATTTTTATACTATGAAGTGCAAAGGTAATTTATGACCCATGGTGCTGTGTATTGGACATGGAAGGTCTTTTCTAGGCATTGGTAAAATGCATGTGCTATTATGGATTTTTAAAAACTATATCCTAATATTTATCAGTTATGTGTGTTTAATATTAATAGGCCAGCTCTCAGAGGTAAATGGAACATATTAAACATTTGTCCATGTGATGAATTTATACAACTCGGAGTTTTATTTATTACCATTTAAGGATCTTCAGAGGTGTAGTTAGGGAATGGAACTTTTTTTTGTTTTCTTGCAGGAAAATGGGAGGTAGATGAAATGAAGGAAACAAAACTTCCAGGCGATAAAGGACTTGTGTTGATGTCTCGGGCCAAACACCATGCTATCTCTACTAAACTGAACAAGCCCTTCATCTTTGATACCAAGCCTCTCATTGTTCAGTGAGTAAAACACTTGGTTGATAGAAGCTTTCTGGGAAGAATGATGCATGTTCTAAAACTGTTACTCTATGTAAAAAATAATGAGAATAAAAATTACATGTTGCAATAGAAATTTTAAGATGTGTTTCAGCATCTTGTAACATTTTTTTTCGTGCCCAATAAATTATTTTGAAATAAATCAGCTATTTTTCCTCCTGATACCAAATGAACTTCTGGATTTTGCAGAAAGTATTTATTGGGAATCTGCATTACGTTTTTCTGTTTTTTGGGGGTTTTTTTGCTTATTTAATTTTGGAGGATTGGGTGGACATAACAATAGAAGATGGAGTTTTTACATATAACCTGTAATAAAACATGTGATCAAAATGAGGGAAAGGGGAAATAAATTAATGCCATATGGTTTCTGCTTTTTTTCCTAAAATTAGGTATGAGGTTAATTTCCAAAATGGGATAGAATGTGGCGGTGCCTATGTGAAACTACTTTCCAAAACCCCAGAGCTCAATCTGGTAAGTACTTTTGTTCATGTAGCCACCCAGTTATCTTTTAAGAATTTCAGAGAAAACGAAAGAAAATTTGCTAAGACCTGTGAAAGGTCTTCTTTCCTGCTGTTGAAATATCTTGAAAGTTGAAAATATCGACTTTGACATTTCTGTGCTTTTTATTTGAAATGTAAATTTCTAAGCTCTTTCTTAGTTTCTGTCCCATGTAATTTTTAGTTTTAGCAAACTTTATAAAAGAAGCAGTAACTCTCTAGATAAATGCATTATTTTATGTTTTAATCACTTTCATACATTCTCAGTAAAATTTCTGGTAATTTCTGGTTATTTTCACTGGTATCTGTACAAATCTCATAAATGAATAAATAGGACACTATTTGGGATTTTCTAAGAGGATATATCATACTTTTGAAAAGTTGCTTTTCAACACTTTGATTTACTTAACTCTTTTTTGTCTCTGAAGGATCAGTTCCATGACAAGACCCCGTATACGATTATGTTTGGTCCAGATAAATGTGGAGAGGACTATAAATTGCACTTCATTTTCCGCCACAAAAACCCCAAAACAGGTGTATATGAAGAAAAGCATGCTAAGAGGCCAGATGCAGATCTGAAGACCTATTTTACTGATAAGAAAACACATCTTTATACATTAAGTAAGAAAAACTGTTAATTAATATGGGGTTTTTTTTGGCACTACCCATTTATCATCCAGCTGCAAATAACAAACTCTGTTGACTTAATATCTTAGTGGTGAGAAGAACTTAGTTTCTCAGCACTAAAAGAAATGTTTCTTCCTTAGGTTGAATTGAGAAACAGGTTTTAAGAAAAGCTTGTATGTCCCGTAAAGAGATTCTTTGCTTGATCTCCACTCATCTCCTGCCTTTGTTTATTTTCTTGTTGGTAGAGCGTTAAGTAATAGGACATACAATAGAAATGTGTGTACAGTTTTTCTCAGTGTCTTCTAGTTGAACTTGTTTGGATGCTCCAACACCTAGACAGTTGAGTATAATCATTCAGACATTGGAATGGGGTTTTTATATTCGTAAGGCTTTTTTCTGCTCATTTGAGATCACATATAGTCATGCCTCTTTTCCTAAAGAATGCAATAACTTTTTTTCTTTATAACAAAAGTATACATATTCAGCATAGAAATTTGAAAGGAAGAAAGAAGACACTTAAAGTATCTGAAATATCAACATTATGATATGTATTTGGCCATATGTGAATAAACATGTATATATGTGTAAACATAATTTTATATTAAAGGTTAAGTATATTTTATTTTTTCTCTTCACAAATGTGTGAGAATTTTCTATGAGAGTATGTTTCATTGATAACATTGATCACCCTCATTATCGTTTAGAAGAGCAGCATAGTACTCTGTTATCTTCCACAATATTCTGAATGTGCTGTGATCTAGTCACTTGCCTATTAGACATTTAGTTGTAGGATCCAGGCTTTAGCATAATTTCACTTAAGATACCTTTATAGATTTAAAGTTATGTTTGCATTCTTCACTGTATTCCAAAAGTACAACCTGAGTAGATTTGTGGTTTAATAAATAAAAGGTTTGTGTGATTGGAACTGTTGGCAACATAGATCGTGGTAATACTAACTCAGAAAATGAGGAAATGGACCTCTTCTACTGGGAGACCGTTATAACAAACTTATTTGCCTGTTGACCTGTGTGTAACCATTTGTGACAAACCAATATTGCAGTTACTTTGCATACCTTTGGTTTTTTGATGTTTTTATGTTCATTCATGGAATATTTTGGTGTTTTAAAATTTTACCTGTTGTTTAATTTCTAAAAACCTGAATAACTAATGTTTATGATTTATAGATAAGGAAAAGAGTACAATCTTGCCTAAGCCTCCATGACCATGTTCTGACTCTTAATACCCAGAGTCATTACTCCATGCTTCTGCTTTCTGTTAGAAATATGATCTTAAAAAAAAAAAAGAAATATGATCTTTTGTGGTAAAGGAAACTTGGGAATGAGTGGCTAATTAACTTTTTAAAATTGCATTTAATTTTTTTCAGTCTTGAACCCAGATAATAGTTTTGAAATATTAGTGGACCAATCTGTTGTGAATAGTGGGAATCTGTTAAATGACATGACTCCTCCTGTAAATCCTTCACGTGAAATTGAGGACCCAGAAGACCGGAAGCCTGAAGATTGGGATGAAAGACCAAAAATACCAGATCCTGATGCTGTCAAACCAGATGACTGGTGAGTCTTTGGTGGTTTTTGAATGCAGTGGAGCATTTCATATATTCCATGTGGCTTAAGCAATCCAGTGATGGTTGAAATCAGATAATTTGAATAATCTGTGATGCAATCTAAATGTTGGGAAAAATGCAGACTACTATAGTTGAAAATACTAGTGACCACATAGTGATCACCAGGGCTGTCATGATCATCTGGACTGCCTCACACCATTTTACAAGCTACTAAATGCTGAAACTAATGATACGGTTTGCCTGTGGCAACACAGTTGGTTTGTGGCGAAATGTCACATCTTTCGGCCTGGCCTTTCCCATGCTTCTATAATTCAATTTAAAGCTGGAGTCCTAAATTTTTAATTTGAAAAGTAACCTTTCTCCTATTAAACAGTACTCAGGAGATCTCTGCTCTCTGTTGAGCACCAGAATACAAAGCCACAGGCACACAGCTGCCTGCACAGCTCTCACTGTAGTTGTGAGACAGGCGATTGAAGTTGGCATGCATGTGGTGAATGACCTAATATGTGTTTCCATGGTGACCGGAGCACCAAGTATACCAAACTTCAGTATTTTTAAATTGAGAATTGAAAGTGGGCAAGAGATAACTAACTGGTAAAGATGGGAAGTGGTATTTCCTGGTTGATGGAGAATATCATGTGCAAAAGTAGAGGACCAGGATCGAGCTTAACACATGCGAGGGAAATTGAGCAGTCTTCTATGTAGGATGCAAATTGGAGAGTGGCAAGAAATGAAAACAGGTGGGTTGCTCTCTTGTATATGACCCTGTTTGAACTCTTGGTATGGTGACTTGTGGAAATGTTAGAAAGTGAACAAAGAGAAATGGTAAAACTGATCTTCCATTTGTAAAAGCATCCTCCTAGGTTTCATAGTAAAATTCTGGTTGATACTTACATGCTGCACTGGTGTAAAGGGTGAGTTCATTTGTATGTTTGGTGAACATTAGATTTGGGCTCACCTTGTTCACTATTGTATTCCTTAACTAGCTGTTTTGTTTTGGGGTAGGAGAAGTAAATGTTGAGCCTTGTCAGCTGAATGATAGACAAGTTTTAGTCCTAACACAATTTTAAACTAGCATAGTTCTAAAATAAGCATAACCCTGACCAAGAATAGGAGATGTCCTTGCTTACCAGCTAAAGTAGCACTATCTTACAGTAACTGCATAAAGCTTTGAAATTAGGTACTTCTTGATAAACCTAGAAGGTTGACTGTTAAAGTCATAATTCACACGCTAAAATGCACAGCTTACGGGTTTAGTATGTTCACAGTGCTGTGCAGCAATTACCACTGTCTAATTCCAGAGCGTTCTTACCACCCAAAAAGCAGCCCATACCCATGAAGCAGTTACTTCCTCCCTGTTTCTCCCTTCCACCAGCCCCTGGCAACCACTAATCCACTTTCTGCCTTATGGATTTGACCATTCTGGATATAGGATTAAGATATGTGGTCTTTGGTGTCTAGCTTCTTTGGCTTAGCATAATAGTTTTAAGACTCTAAGACTCATCCATGTGGAACCTTGTATCGATACTTTCTTTTTATGACTGAATAATATTCCATCGTATGGGTGATACCACATTTTATTTATCCATTCCTTGTTTAGTTGACGTTTAGGTAGTTTCCCTTTTTGGGCTATGGTTGTGAATAACACTGCTATTACGAACATTCAAATGAATGGTTTTGGGGGTGAATATACATTTTCATTTCTCTTGGGTATATTCCTAGGAGTGGAATTGTTAGGTCACATGGTAACTATGTTTAATTTTGTGAGGGACTGCCAAACTGTTTTCCAAGGTAGCTGCACCATTTTGCTTTCTTACAAGCAGTGTAGGAGGGTTTCATTTTTTTCATATCCTTGCCAATTTTTAGTTTTAGCAGTCCTTTTTCATTATGGTCATCTTACTGGGTATGAAGTGGTATCTTATTGTGGTTTTGATTTGCATTTCAAAATGATGACTAGTAATGTGGAACATATTTTCATGTGCTTTTTGGGCATTTGTCTGAAGAAATGTTTATTAAATCCTCTCTTGGTTTTTAAATCAAATTGTCTTTTATTATTGAATCATAAGGGTTCTCTATATATTCTGCATACTGGGCCCTTGCATATGATTTTAGATATTTCTAGGAGGAGCTATTTCACAAAGTGGGACCACACTGTAGTCATTGTAATTCTGTGGCCGGTGTTATCATTAATTGTCTTTTTCTTTTGTGTTAAGGGATGAAGATGCTCCTGCTAAGATTCCAGATGAAGAAGCTACAAAGCCTGAAGGCTGGTTAGATGATGAGCCTGAATATGTACCTGACCCAGATGCAGAGAAGCCAGAGGACTGGTATGAGCGTTGATTAACTTTTAACATTGCCTGCTTTTTTTATTGACGTAAAAGTTAATACTTAAATACAGCCAGGAGTTTCCTGGTGGCTTAGACAGTAAAGTGTCTGCCTGCAGTGTGGAAGACCCGGGTTCAATCCCTGGGTCGGGAAGATCTCCTGGAGAAGGAAATGGCAACCCACTCCAGTATTCAACTGCTCAAACTTAAGTGTAGAGCTCCACAAACTGAATTGATTACATTTTCATCTCTGTTTCTATTTTATTTATTTATTTTTAATATTTGCTTTTATTTATTTCTTTGACTGTGTTGGGTCTTAGTTGCAGCATGTGGGATCTACTTCCCTGACGAGGGATCGAACCCCAGGCCCCCTGCATTGGGAGCATGGAGCCTTAGCCACTGGACCACCAGGGAAGTCCCTCATCTCTCTTTTTAATGTATTTGTCACAGGAAATCCTTTGTTATTGGAAATGCGAAAACAAAATGATGCTTTGTAGTACGCCGCTGAATATTCCTGCAGGATTTTAGGGAAGCCCTGGGGTAGCTTTTCATAGTCCTGCTTACAGAACCCACTTGTAGTTTGTTTATATCTTCACAGGGATGAAGATATGGATGGAGAATGGGAGGCTCCTCAGATTGCCAACCCTAAGTGTGAGTCGGCCCCTGGGTGCGGTGTCTGGCAGCGACCCATGATTGACAATCCTAATTATAAGGGCAGATGGAAGCCCCCCATGATTGACAACCCTAACTACCAGGTTAGTACTTCCTGGTGGTTGAGCTGCTTCATTGAGCTCTTTGTGTTCAGATAGTTTTCGAGTGTGTAATGAGGCTGCTACAGATTGATCCTCTATGTCCAAACAACTGAATTAAAAACAAAGTAAACTTCAGAATTAAGAGAGAACTTATGTGTTGTGTTGAAAAGATAAACCTAGAAAGTGGAAAGACGAGCTTTCATAATTGCATTATAACAAAAACAAAAATGAAAACTTGTGGTTTGGACATCCTGCTGCCATGTGGCAGGGGTGCTCCAGCCATAAATATCCAAACTGGCAGTCTCTGGTAGCATGGATAGGGGACTATGATGAGAGTTGGTTTCCTGACCATGAGTTGGCTCATTGCCTGACCTCGGTATCTTCAGCTATAGAAAGACTCTGAAGCTCAAATGAGATTATAATACTGGTGGTGATACCTTAAAGCTTCAAGTTTACTGTGGCTCTGTAACAATTCCAACCCTGGTCTCGCTTCTGTTTCTGTTCTAGTCAGATTATTTAAAATCATTAATTTCTACTTTACAACTTACTTCAAAATGTAAGTTGTATCTCTACATACAGACTGTGTATACTTCTCTGTTTCTAAGTGTATTTTTAGTCGTGCAGACAATAAGAAAAGTTGCCCCTTAGCTGTTTGTCGACGGCCGTTTAGGTGAATTGCCAGTTTTGCTTTTAGAATCCTTGCCACAGTAGTTCTTCTTGTGCTTCTCTGAGTATATGTGGTAACTGTTCCTCTAGCTAGTTGTCTGCGGTGAAGTGTCTGGTTGCAGTTTGTGTGCACCTCACCGCTGAAGAAGTCTGTACTGATTCACGCTCCCTCCTACCAGCCATTAGTTGGTCAGAGTGAAGGCTCTGGGAATGTGCCAGGCAGAGCAAGGTGTTGGTCTGGATCAAGGTCATGGGTGAAACTGAAAGTGGAAATTGGAAGTAGTTGGGATTCAGCCCTCTTAGAGGCATTAATAGCATTTGTTGTTTTCCTCCTGTTAAGTTTCACACAGTCAGCACTTCACAGATAATGCAGAATTCATCTTATTTAGGTTCACTATAAATTTGTGTTGATCATTATCTGAAATGATTTTTTAAAATAATTTTCTCTAGGGAATCTGGAAACCACGGAAAATACCAAATCCAGATTTCTTTGAAGATCTAGAGCCTTTCAAAATGACTCCTTTTAGTGCTATTGGTTTGGAACTGTGGTCTATGACTTCGGACATTTTTTTTGACAACTTTATCATTTGTGGTGATCGAAGAGTAGTTGACGATTGGGCCAATGATGGATGGGGTCTGAAGAAAGCTGCAGATGGGGCTTCTGAGGTTTGTGCTTCCTTGTTTCTTGTGCATTTATGTCTTTTATAGGTAACTAATTGCTACTGTTGTGAAGAGCGATCTTCTAAGATTTGTCTTTTCCCTTATTTGGGAATGTTGTCATAGAAAGTGGGACCTGTGTTTACTAAAGACAAAACACTGGGGTTTTGGACATGATTTCAGTAGGTTAATACAAAGGTTTTGAGTCTATATTTGTGTTATATGCATGATATTTCTTTTAAAATTGTGTTAAAATATAGTTAACAGGGATTGGCATATATACTAATACATATGAAATAGATAACTAATAAGAACCTACTGTGTTGCACAGGTAACTCTATTCAGCACTTTAGTGACCTGTATGGGAACAGAGTCTAGAAGAGCAGATGCACGTATAACTCACTCACTCTGCTGTACAGCAGAAACCAGGACAACTCCGTAAATCAACTGTCCTCCAATGTAAACAGCTAGAAACAAATATGTAACAAAGCTTTGCCTTTAGGATCTGTTTTAATGCACTCTTAAATATTGAATCTTGGTTTATTAAATAAATGGAATTTTCAAATAATTGGTCATAAGGCCAAATTGAAAATTGGAGACACACTCAGATAAAGAAATTCTTCATTCACTGGTCCCTGAGGTTAAGAAACTTTGCAGGTAATTGGAAAGCCAGCTTTCACACCTAGGAAAGAGAAATACCCTTGATGATAAAGACAACAGGAAGATTGAGACTTTTCTTTTATTTCCTCTTTACATTGTGTGGACATCTAGGCTTGAACCCAAAATGGTATCTGAGCAGTGCCATGCAGTAATGTAACCGTGGGCCAGTACTGCCTGTAGTTAGTGTCAAACGCCAGACCTGCAATGAGTGCTGTCTTGTCTCCAGCCAGGTGTAGTGGGGCAGATGATTGAGGCGGCTGAGGAGCGCCCGTGGCTCTGGGCGGTCTACATTTTGACTGTAGCGCTGCCTGTGTTCCTTGTCGTCCTCTTCTGCTGTTCTGGAAAGGTATGAGTTGTTGGTTTTGTTTTATTTTGAGTCACTCTTACCATGTTAAAAATAACCAAGATATATTGCCAGAGGTTTTTCTTTGTAGCTGCTCAGTAATGACTGGGCCACATTTGGTGCTGACTTCTCAAACCCTGTTCACTATTTTCAGTGGCCATGTATTGTGCCCAGATGGAAGTAGGATTGTTAGCCCCTCAGTTGCTAGTCTAGTGTATTGCACTCCTTCATATTTGGCAGCAGTTTTCTGAAAGATAAGAAGAAAGAAAAAACAACTCAGATATAAAACTGACCCATCTGGGCACAAACTAGTTTTTCCTGCTGGCATACCTGTTTCTGTTCATATACTTCATAATTCAGTCTTTGATTTCTCATTATCAATTTCTCTTTTCAGCATTCCCCCTTTCCCCCAAACACCACATACAGGAGTAATACAGCCTTATTGTAGTTTTTCTTGTTTAGTCTTTGTTATATGCAGTTAAAAAAAAGAAAATTTTGTTTAGGCCCTCTACTTCTGCTAAAGCAGACTTGTGCTTCATACTACATTCAAGACGTTTTGTAACCTAATCCCCAATCTTCTTTTCCAGCTTTACCCTCCACCACTGTTGTATGTAGGTGTCACTCAGTCACCTTTGACTAGTTAGGGTGCACATTGCTGCCTGGCCCCTTCACTTCTACACCTTCTACACGTGCTCACTGGAGAGGAGGCTCTCAGGCAGCAGTTCCTTCTTTCACATTTCTTTGTATCTGTTCCAGCATACCGCTTGTACAGAACTTTGCTCATAGGCATTCAATAATTACATGATAATATAATACATAAAATATGAACAAACCTGTTGCGCTTTGGGGGAATATTTCAGAAACAGGCCAGTCCTGTGGAATACAAAAAGACTGATGCTCCTCAGCCAGATGTGAAGGAGGATGAAGAAGAAAAGGAAGAGGAGAAGGAAAAGGGAGATGAGGAAGAGGAAGGTGAAGAGAAACTTGGTAAGAAGTAGACCCCAAAATATCTGCTCTAAGCCAGCACCCTAAGATGTTGCTTTAAACCCTTATAAGCAAGTTACTGTCAGGATTGTTTTAGATTCTAGAAGTGTGTTCTAATGCTCATTTTCTAGTTACCAAAAAATAAGTGTAAGATTTTGCTCAGTTGTTCTACTTTCACTTCTTAGAAGAGAAGCAAAAAAGTGATGTTGAAGAAGATGGTGACACTGTCAGTCAAGAGGAGGAAGACAGGAAACCTAAAGCAGAGGTAATAGAAAGTGGGGGGAGAGTATATTTTATGTTTCAAGCAACTTACATGAAGGTACATTTAAGTACAGAGTATTTTCATAAGATAATTTTCAATGGCTGTGACAGTAAAAATTCTGTTATAGCCAATTTTGTAACAGTGGAATTCTTAGCATTAAAAAATTCAATTTTTAAATTACATCTGAATCTCAAAAATACTTTCTGTGCTGAAAATGGCTTTCTGTGATAAGCAGAGGCAAGGGAAGACTAATAAAGTACTTTCTAGTGATGGCAGCTTCAGGTGGTTTATAGTCCTGGTTCATCATCTGTCTCTCCTCACTGTGCCCTTAAAGCTATTTCTTGGACAAATCACTGCATTCTAAAATTTTTGTCCCTCTTGCTGATGAATTCATTCGTTCATTCATTCAGTAAATACTTCTGGAGTCATTGTGTCCCAGGCATTGTTGGCGAACAAGACAAAAATACTCTTACCTTTGGGGAGCTTAATTCTAGTGAAAGGAAACAGTGAGCAATGGGCATTTTAAGGAAGTAAATGAACAGTATGATAAAAAGCAATGAGCTATGAAAAATAAAAAGGACAGGAAAAGGTTTTGGAAGTACTGGGGGCAGAGTGAGTTGTACGTAATTTTAAAGATGATAGATAGGCCTCAGCGTGGCAAAAACTTGAAAGAGATAAAAAGACTTTGCCATGGAGACGTCCATGGGAAGAGAATTCCTGGCAGAGAAGACAACTACTAAAAGGACCTGAAGTGGTAGTCTAGAGGGCCAGCATGGCCAGTAGATTACGAGGATGGAGAAAAAGAGCATGGGGAGGACTCCAGATTAGGTGAGGCCTCTGAGGCTGTTGTATGGTACTTGGCTTTTCCTGCTAGTGAAATAGGCAGGCATCACAGTCTACAGGGCAAAGGACTGAAGGGATCTAATTACTCTGGCTTTGATGTTTTCTGCAGACCAAGGAGAACCAAGGAGACTAGTTAGTTTACCGTAATAATCCAGGCAAGATATGGTGGCTCTGAGCAGGGTGATAGAGAAGGACATGAGTTTCTGATCTGGATTTCTGATCGGATTGGATCTGATCCAATCAGGAGGATTGGATATGAGGTATGAGGGAAGGAGAATAGTCCACGTCATTCTCACCAAGGTCCCTTTTCTCAGCACTTCTCTTTCATTCTGATCCTTTCTGGAAACTACCCAGTTTTCATTTCCAGCTACCACAACTCTGCCCTTCTATTGATAACAGTCAATGCTGTTTATATTTTCAATGGATATATGCTGTCTCAACTAGAATGCAGAATTCTTTCAGGTAGGGGCCAGTCTTTTTATATTCCCCCAAATTCCTCACACAATAAGTGCGTGTAGCGTAGAAAGAGCACTGGATTTATAGTTTGTTTTTTTTTTTGGCCATGCCATGCAGCATGTGGGATCTTATTTCCTCAGCTAGGGTTCCAGCCTGTGCTCCCTGCACTGGCAGCATGGAGTCTTAACCACTGGACTTCCAGGGAAGCCCCTGGGCTTGTAGTCTTGAGTATTATTATGGACTTGGCTTGGGCTTGGATAGCCGTTAGTCCTCATGAATCTATGCTTTCTCAGCCTCAAAGTGGGACTAATATATCCATAGGCCAGTAGATTATTCAGGCTTAAGCAGAATAATATGTGATAGCCTGGTGTTTGGTCCTTTTTAAAGAACATGTTGATGGATTAGGTTTAGAAAGATGCATATTTATGGAAAACAAAGACTGAATTAATTATAACACACGTACAATTCTACCACCACTGAGCCAATCTTTGTTTTTGGTGCATTTTCTTCTAATCATTTTTTTGTTTGTTTTTCCTCAAATGAGTTATACTCAGCTAGTTGATCTTAAACTTGGTGAATTTTTACTTAAAAAAAAAATGCTAATTATAGTGAATTTCTTGTTTTTTCAACCAACAGGAGGATGAAATTTTGAACAGATCACCAAGAAACAGAAAGCCGAGAAGAGAGTGAAACAATCTTAAGAACTTGATCTGTGATTTTTCTCTCCCTCCCCTTCCCCTACAAGTGTGGGTCCTAGGAGAGGACCTGGCACACCTTAGGTTGAAACTCAAAAAACCTTCAGATGTATCACCATCAACAGGTTCCAGTTGAACACTCGCCCATGTAATTTTAAACATCTAGCAGTAAATAATTGGAGTTGTGACATAAAGGACCCTGTTTCTGTAGAGAGAAAAGCTTAACATAATTGTTGTGAAATGTAACATGAAGCAACTAACTTGTAATTTCTTTTGTTTTTAAACATCTTTGTTTTTTAAAATAGAGTGATAGAACTTTTCCAGTCTTTAAACATCTTGGCTTAATTTAATATATTAATCTGTCCGTGCAGAAATAAAACCAACCTTTAAAAATGTTAGGGGGATGAATTTGAAGTTGGTGAATTGTAACTGATTTTTAAGTTTGGTATTACAAAACATTTAAGTGTCTTTGTTCCCTAATTGATAATCATGTCTAAAATGCAGTCATTTGTGGTTATAATCTTGTTTTGCTTGCTTCCATTATTCAATTTCTTCTAAGGAAATTGAGAGTGATTGGATGGAAGCCCAAATTTAAATAAAGATTCTGTTGAAGTTATATTAAAAATAGACATACAAAAAGAAAAAACATTTCACTTGTTGGTTAGACCATAAAGTATGTGTGTTCTCTTGCCCTTGGAACAGCTCAGTTCCCACACAGCTTTGCAGTTAGGGGAAGAGGTGGCATAGATGGCACTCAGGCACTCATCCTTCACACGCCAGGGGTGTCTGGGCTCCAGCCTTCTCCAGCAGGTGGCTTCTCAAGGAGCTACCCCATGTGTGAGCTCGAGTAGATGCACGTGTTTTCATCACATCTTCCACTGTGTTGACACTGTCTTACCTTCTCAAGTTCCCCAAATTCCCAAGAGCTTTCTCCTCTGCTATGCATTTTGTCTTCACAGCGCAGCTTGCAGTCCATTGCTAAAAATGATTATAAGCTCTGCATAGTGTTAAGCTTTATTGTGATTATGTGTATGTTTCTTCTTCCTTTGTTAAGCAGACCCACACCTTTCCAGGGTCAAAGTACAGGATAGAATACTATCCTTCATCTTTACCATTTCTTTTACTCCATTTAAAGACTTCAGAAGTCTAATCCAGATTTGAGCCAATTCAGAATTGGCTGTAATTGAACACAGGCTAAAAGTATTTATGGGGGAGTGACTTTTAGCATGAGTTTTCTGATTTTTGTAGCTGCTAAACCTTTTAAATCTTTATTTGCAGTTCATGTAACAGTTGTGTCTTAAATTACATGATAAAGGAGTCCTGTTAAATTTTTTTTTTTTAAGTTATATGGCTTGTAGAATTTTTAATAAATGAGCTTAGGTCTGTTTTTTCATGTGGAATGCAGATGGGTGCTATCAGAGCCTCTCCCCCGTCACTAGTGTAATAATATTATTACACCACACTGAAATGTATTCAGAACTAGGTTTTTTTTTTTTTAGCTTTATTGTTTCTTCAGAGGTGTTGCAAATGTACCGATGATACTGTTTCTTGCACTGAATATATAAACACTCCAGAGTGTTTATATTGGGGAGATATTGGGGAGGAAGTATATTCATAAAAGATGAAGGCTGTATCTGTTTATCTTCAATTTTTTACTTGTTCACTTAAATTCTTATGAGGGTGGGATGCATTTTCTTGCTGTTGAGTGCTTTATCCTTTTTCATCTGTTGTTCTGTGGTCACAGTGACCTTAGCTATGTAGCAGACTTTCCCAAATGTATTGAGTGCAAATAAACAAGTTACTTAGCAAGACCTGAAAATAATGTCTGCAGGTTTCTCCTTGAAGTAAGTGTGTGGGATCATTGCATTTCTAGAAGTCTGCCTTCTTCACCCTAAATTGACATTGCATGTCATTCTTCCTTTACAGTTTCTTCCAGCTGAGGTGTGGGATAACCAGTATAAATCAGTAGACTGTTCATTTGCAGGGTAATTTAATTTATTATATCCAGGGTAATTTAGCAACGTTTGTCTCCCCGCCCCCCCCCCCCCCCGCCCCCCAACCAAGGACTGGGGGGAACCACCAAAAAACAAAGATAAATAAAAAGTATTTTCTTGGTTCTGTATTCCACTTTGTTGAAGATGCAGCCTCCTAATTAGAAGTCTGAACTTAATGAATGAACAGCAGCAGTATTCATCTCTTTAAAAGGCACTTATGTTATTTTACATGCTGGTTAACTGCCCCATTGATATAAATGTCTACTGCATCAGATGTGTTCCTCAATTTCTCTTATCCATAACACAGTCCACTTTTCTCAGATTGTTGGCATTACTAAATGGTGTTACATTAAAGCCCTGTGTTAAGCATCTGCTTTTGACTGAACTTCATAAATAACCTTCAATTTGTTTTTTTACTGTTTCAGTAGTGGGTTAATCTTCCATTAATTGGGTGCTACATGAAAGTTTGCTAATACCCAGAAACTATTATGAACACTGAAATAGTTACTTCATCTTACCACATGAAGGTGAATATAATTCAAAGTAGGCTTTGCATCTTTTTCCTGTTGGATTGGGGTTCAGTAGTTTCAGTTGTATAGGATGACTAGCAGCTTGGAAGAAGAGGGGTGATTTGTAGATAATATTCTTGTAGATTATGGAAACCATTTGACTTCAAAATTTTTATTCAAAAATAAATGACTTGGAATCAGACTCCATCTTTTATATTCCTATTTAGGGATATTTTAGAACATTAGGTCAAAACTTTTTTTATGTAGTATTAGGCTTTTGAATTGCTTTTTGAAGAGTACACAAAATGTAGTCCTCCTAGTTACAATTATCTTTCCCATTAGAAAGGAACTTTAATTCTGGTGTAAAATTTATGTTTGAAGAATGGTTAAAGCAGGACTGTTAAGGGTGTTCATGAGCCCTAAGCACTTTTGCTTTGGTGGGTCACTTGTATTTTTTACTGCATTTGTATAAAGACACGTACTATTTGAATAAAGACTCAATTTTTTCTTCTGCTTTTAAAACATTTTCATTGGCCTAGTAAGAAGTTACTGTACCAAATGTCGAGCTGTCGATGGTGTCTCATTTTGTAGCCTTTTGGCACCTCCTGTTTCTTTTTAGCAGTTAGGGTGCCAATAACCTGTTTCTAGTTTCTCTTGACCAACAGACTGTCTAGTTTGATTGCTCCTGTTTTTCCCCCTGGTCTTCCACTTCCTTTGCCTACTAGGTATAGTACTAGAGTGTAATTGTCTTTAGTTGGGTTTTGTCGTGTGATTCGGTTCTACCTAACAGACCACCTTTTAAACGTAAAACTCGCAGGCCAGGCATCCCGTTTTTTATTTTACTAAAGCATCATCCTTTGCAGTTCTACTGTGCCCACCCCCTCCCCAGGAGACTTCATATCCTTTTCCTCATGTCTTTTTTTCTTTTAGTAGTTGTAAGTTTTGAAATACTTTCATATGAGGGCAGATTGATACTCTCGATTCAGAATAGCGCATGAGGAAACCTCTTCAGCTCGAATGCAGTTCTTACCAACTGTGAGGCTGAATGTGAGGAGTGAGGTCGAAGAAAACCCGATGACATTGGAAAAGCGAGGCTATCAAACCCGAATTTAAGAAGCGGTAGGAAAATGGTGAATCGCTACGGTGCCAGACCACCATCTGGGTCTGGCGGGTTACGCCGCGCCTACTGCCCCTCTTTCCGCGGCGGACCCGGAAGGGCCTGTTCGCGAGAGGCGGCGTTTAGAGCCAGCTTCTGTCGGTCACACTCAGCTGAGTGTTGAGGACTGAAGCCCGCCCAGCTGCTTCCCCCCGCTTCACTTGAGAGTTCCTTTTAAACTCCGCAAGGGAACAGCCCCGGCGCGCCTCTAGTGTGCGCGGCCCCGCCCCTCGGGCGGCCCGCTCGTCCTTCTCTAATTGGCCGCAGTGTCTGCTTATCAGCTGTGACGGCAGGCTTGCCCGCCGGAGCCCCGCCCTCTTCCGAGAGCCCCGAAAACAATTTTAAGATGGCGGCGGCGGCGGCGCGGAAAACAATGGGGCCGGGCCGGCGGGGACAGGCCGAGGCCTGAGGTGGGCAGCGAGCGCCTGCCCGGGTTGGGCCGAGCGGGGCCAGAGGAAGACCCCCGCCGCGCGCGAGCCCGTTCCGCAGCTCGCGGGACCATGGCGTGGCCGTGAGGCAGCCGGGCAGCCGGCAGGGAGCGGAGCGTGCAGTGCCCGCCGGCCCGAGAGGCCCGCCTCGGGCCTGGCCCGTGCAGCCCGCGGCCCATGGTGCTGCCCACCTGCCCCATGGCGGAGTTCGCGCTGCCGCGGCACAGCGCGGTCATGGAGCGCCTCCGCCGGCGCATCGAGCTGTGCCGGCGCCACCACAGCACCTGTGAGGCCCGCTATGAGGCCGTGTCGCCCGAGCGCCTGGAGCTCGAGCGCCAGCACACCTTCGCCCTTCACCAGCGCTGCATCCAGGCCAAGGCCAAGCGCGCCGGCAAGCACCGGCAGCCGCCCGCCCCAGCCCCGGCTCCGGCGCCGGCGCCGGCCGCGGCCCCCCGCCTCGATGCTGCCGACGGCCCTGAGCACGGCCTCCCGGTCGCGGTGAGTAGGACTGCGGGAGCAGCCCCTTCTCGGGAGATGCTGCCCCTGAAGCCGCCCAGGGCCCTTTGGGGCTGCCTCAGTGCCCGCAGCTGCTTGGGTCTCGCTCCGGGGAGGCTAACATGGCTGGGACTGAGCGGTTGTCATCTGCGGGAGATGGCACTGTGGCGTTGCTTTGGGAAAACAGGATCCTGAGCACCGACCTGAAGGCCCCGGCAGGGAAGGCTGGTGATCGGGCGGTGAAAGAGTTTTCTTCCAGACTTGATTCCGAAATTCTGAGAACTCTGTTTTGGAACAGATTGGCATTAAAGTTGCCTGTGATAATGGCCTCATTTATTCTGCAGCTGTTCTTTGAGTCCTTGCTTTTTGCAGGGTCAGGGCTTAAATATGGAAATTAAGACGGACTTCAGCTGACCAAATGAAACTGTTCTGAATGGAAAGTCAAGAATCGTTGGAAGTCTTCGTAGAGGCATAGTACTGCTCATTGAGATGTACAAAAGTATTCTTTGTTTAGGCAACTCTGAAATTTTGTGAAGTTGTGATCACAGCAGTATTGTTGGCAGTCCCAGTTTTAATTGGAAGCCTGTTTAAAACCTCTGATGATATTAGAGTTTGTTGGTAAATTATTACACCCTGTTGGGCTCTCAGTAGTGTTAGGGAACTTTGTTGGTTAGAGGTTTTCCTTCCTGAAACTACTTACAAGGTTCGTTGCTATTTTCTTGGTAAGTTAAAGTTTAGAACAAATGCTACCGATTTAATTTCTGTGTATTTTTATAACTCACGCCTTTATTAGGTCTCATCGGGCTTTTGCAGTCCTCTTCACTAATTAGTATTCAGGTATCTGGTCTCTAACCCTTTAGATGCTGTGACCCTCACAGGCCCTACGCTCAGTTTGTATTATTCTTCTTATTCTCTCCCACGCCAGCCCGCACTGCTGGACATCTCCTTGCTCATTGTTATCAATTCTTACATAGTCAGGGCTTCTCGTCCTCACTTTTCTTCTCTGTAAGTTGAAGATGTGTTTGACCTCCTCTGGGATTCTTGTGAGATTCAAAAGAGAGGAGTGTCGAGGTGAAAATACTTCATAAATGGAAGAGCTGCCGGTAAGACCCTCCCCCATCCCCTCTCAGAATCCTGACGTCCTTCAGGTCCAGTTCGTCTTCCTCTTTAAAACCAGTTTTCACCCTGCCCCACAGCAGTTAGAGTGTGCTTTGTCAAAACATTAAGGAAATGCATTGCCTGTGCTATTTTAAATATTTTAAGCACATCCTTGCATGCTACTTTAGATGTGTCTTGAAAACTAGACTGTAAGCCCTAGGAGACGGGGAGATGCAGCTCAAAGGAAAGACTTAAAGTTTTGGGTGGTCATTCCATTTAAGTAAACAGTGAAAGCCCATAAAAAAAAAAAAATCTCAGTTCTACACACTAATAGTTGCCTTGAACACCTGCTAGAATATAAATTAGTAGTGATTCAGTTTGTTTAAGGAGAGTGAGAATTTAGATCCTCTATGATATTTTTAGCCCTAAACTCCTAGAGAGAAGTTGGACATGCTGTTTGAAGAGAAATTAGTTCTGAGTGTGTCAGAACATGAGCTTGGCCTGTTTAGTCATTCCTTTGGGTGTTCAGGTTTGTCGTGTTATATTGATGTCTTATCGCATTAAACCTTGACCCGTGGATTTCGTGAGTTAAACTTTAGAATAGAATTGCTCTACTGCTTCCCTGCTAGGAAGAGGGACCCTTTTAACTTCAGTCTCCACGTGATTCTAGGTGAGCTCTTTGGCTTTGGAGTAAAGTTTTAGGAATGGAAGATGAGTGTCTAGTAGAACCCATTTTAGTGGCTCCTTCAGTTCAGAGAGGGGGAGAGTTCTTGCCTTTCGGCCTTGAGAGAAAGCACAGCTTTGCCCAGAGAGATGGAGGGGAGAAAGTGATTATTATTTTTGACAATTCTGTATATGTATTTGATCTAATTAATATTCCTTAGTGAAAGTCGTTTCTGGCTCTTTGCGATCCCATGGACTGTACAGTCCATGGCATTTTCCAGGCTAAAATACTAGAGTGGGTAACCTTTCCTTTCTCCAAGGGATCTTCCCAACCCAGGGATCGAACCCAGGTCTCCCACATTGCAGGTGAATTCTTTACCAGCTGAGCCGCCAGGGAAGCCCAATACTCGTTACATAAGGAATATTATTCTTATTTTTTCCAGAAGTCCTGTAGTACTCTTAGGCATCCGTTTCCTAGCAAAGTTACCATCAGCAAACCATTTGTACACATGAAAATGGATCAAACCAAATTTACTAGTAGAGTCCAGTTTCTACTCTAGCTGTCAAGGAATGACCTTATTAGGTTTTCTTTGTACTGTGTGTGCTCATTGAAAACCAAATAGTAGTGACAGGATTGACTTCTTTTTAATAGGGATGCCAAATAATAGAGAATTACCACTCACTTTATACAAACATTAATTCTGTCATGAAAATAGCCTTCTACAATAGCTTGAACATTTTCTTTTGGTAAAATGTTATAAAGGTTTATTCCTGGCCCCCTTATATAGCATTGCCATACTTTTGCTGCTTACTTCTTAAGTTGTTGTAATACTCTACCAAGAAATTTGACAGTTTCATGTCAACCATTCATGGAAGTTGCCTTTCCTGCTTAGTTTAGGAAATTATATTGTTTGTTAGGAAAGAATTACCAATACATTGTTAATTGTTTAGGAAATAATATTTCTCTTTGTTGCTCTCTTTTTAACTTTTATCTATGCATAACTACACAAATAGTACAAAGAACATCGGCTTACCTTTACTTAGATTCTACCCGTTGTCATCATCATTCCTTATTTGCTTTATCATGTCACACATACTCTTTCTCTCCTCTCTACCTTTCTCTCTCCCTAAAAGTTCTGTTCTCTGAACCATCCGTGAGGGTACAGCACACCTGACTCTCTACCCCAAAACACCTCAGTGTGTACCTTCTAAGAGTTAAAGATGTGCAAAATTTCAATAATTATTTTGTAGACTGAGCCTGTGTAAGAATTATATAAGTAATAAATTATTTTCAGAGAGTAGATATTTCTGAACATGAAATAGACATTGTGGGATAATTTTAGAGAAAAGATGAGTAATGTGACTTTAGGATTGCATTTCTTCCTATAACATTCATGACCTTGTCCTAGCATCTTCTTTCTGTTTTTATCAGTATCCCCTTTTCCACTGGGTCCCTGCCTTTAGCTTGAAACATGAACAGATATCCTCCTTTCTTTTGTCTTTTCTCACCCTCAAAATAGTGTTCTAGCTCCTTCCTTCTCTTTGCCCTTCCCACTGCACTTCCCATTTACTCATTTCCCCATTGTAATCTGCCTTCTACCTCTTCTACTTTTCCGAAGCTGCCCCCTTAAAGGACACCAAAGATGGACTTGCCAAATTCAGTGGCTTCTTAGTCATCATTCTTTTTGACTTCCTCCTTCCTAAGACTCTTCTGTTAGCTTCTACCCTCTTCTGATTTTCTTTCCAGCTTTCTGACTTTTCCTCAGTCTCCTTCCTGCTTTCCTTTATTAATTCATGCAAAAAATACTTGAGTGCCCACTGTAGGTCAGAACATTTTTTTGGTTGCTAGGGATACAGCAATGAACAAGACAGATTGAAACTCTGCTCTCATGGAGAGAGATCAATAATTTTTAAAACTAATTTTAAGTTATAATAAATGCTAAGAAAAAGTGTGATGTGATACTGAGCGATTTATAGTAGCAGTTTTAGATATGATAGTAGCAGCTCTGTCTTAATTTGGGTTGAATGACAGGAGATTATGAGTCAGCTGAAAGTTTCAGAAAAGAACATTCCAGTTAGAACTACCACCAGAAAGTTTCTGAGGCAAGAACCTTCTGAGCTTGCATGAAGAACAGAAAGGAGGGACAGTATGGGCAGAGCAGCAGGCAGTCAGCTGGTATGAGAGCTAGGTAAGCAAGGGTCAAATCAAGTGCAGTGGGACGCAATAGCAGGATTTGAAGGAAAAACATCACATGATCTAACATTTTTTAAAGGCCATTCTGATGCTACACGGAGGGTGTTTGGGATTGGTCTGGGCATGAGTTGATGCAGTTCAGGCTTTTGCAGTGGTCTAGGCTGGAACTGTTTGTGGTAGTGCAGATGGAGAGGAGGAGGTAAATTCTGGATAGCTTCTGAAGGCAGAGGTGACAGAGGATGGTGATGGACTAAATGGATTGGATTGGAGGCAAATGGAAGGAGTTGAAGGGATTCCAAGTTTTTTGGCTTGAGAAACGTTCTTGGGACACTTTTTAAATATTCATGTTCCCTAGTTTTTTTCACTCAATTTTCTTTTCCAGGGTTAATGTCATTGATTCTTTCATGCATCTATCACCTATTCTTCACATCTCTACCCAGGGTCAAATGCAGCTGTGTACTGCACATTTCCACTTTGATTCCCACGTTATCCAAAAGGGACTCTCCGCTTTTCGTGCCAGTCTTATATTTCTTCAGAGTATTTTCCCTTGTCCAGTCAACCAAAGTGGGAGCTTGGGAATTATCCACCCCTTTCTTCATTTCCATCTTTTTGTTTTGGCTGTGTCCTTCAGCATGTGAGGTCTTAGTTCCGCAGCCAGTGATCGAACCCGTGCATTGGGAGCACAGAGTGTTAGCCACTGTACCATCAGGGTAGTCCCTGTTTCCATCTCTGAGTTGGTCATTTGTTCACCCAACATTGAACTCCTGCTGGGAACCAGGAATTGTGGTGCCAGACTTATGTTGTGTAGTCATCGTGAAGCCCTGCTGAAGACTGTAAAACCTATGGGAATACTAGGAAAGGGATGCCCCTTGGGTGATATTTGGAAAGTGTTACAGACTTTTAAAGTGCGTCTTAATATTTTGCCAGATGTTTTCCCAAAGCGTGTTAAGTGAAACACTAATTTCATGGGCTATTAAAAGAGTTCTAGAGTTGCACAGATTTGGGTGATACTGGAATAAACAAATTTAAACAGTTTCCTTTATTTAGG